CATTCTCAATTTTACATTAGTCAATTTAGCATCGATGGTTATATTGTAAAAGAAGCATATCTTACGACTTTACGAGTGATTTCCATATAAAAACAAAAAGATGTGGTATAATTGCCAATGAAACAACTATTCAACAGAGTTCTGATGACGTGGATAGAAGCAATTATAGGTCAACGTACGGCCTTCAACAATGAGAAACACCAATACCGTCTAGTAAGCTGTAAAAGGACCGACATGAAAAATGTGAATCAATTCAAACGAGCAACTAATGTATAAATATGCAATTTACTAAAAAAAATATGACAGACATTAACAACGACAAAAACTGAATTACAGGCTCCTGACTTGGAACGGACACACAAAGAATATGTTGGGCTAAACATGTTTGTGAGCGCTCAACACTACCCTCTCACCGGACTATGGTGTAACAACACAACATTAGAACAAACATTAAAAATCAGTTGCAAAAGGCCTAACTCGATAGATCGGTACGAAACACACATATCATTTAACATAAAAACAATAATACAAAGAACTGATAATTTATAAGAATACTCGTAGTTACTGAAAGATACTTGAAAGCTAATTTCAACTAGTAAATGAATCATGTTCTCTAAGACTAAAGCATTATAATCTGTACACATCTAACGGATTTACTGTAAAGACGTCATAAACAATCTGACAAACGCTTCACCTTGTTCAATTACAAAATATATCTCGATGTTTATATTAGATGTAAGCTTCTCATATCTGAGGGGTGTTAGATCCGAAGATATGAGACGATTACATCTTATTGTCATAGAAGTAACAAATAAGTATTTTTTTTTCTTTTCTTTTGTTCTAAAAAGAGCACTTAGTTTTAATAAAACAGGAAAAGTGTCATTATTTCAAATTTTTCAGATGCAGTAACACTTTCAGAAGACGATTGTTTGTTATGGGTTTGGAATGAAATCTTTATTGCGTCTTTTTTTCTGTCATCAAATTGATATCTTATCACTACTTTTGTGTGGCAATATGAATCGCTGTACTATCTTGTCTTTACCTGGTTTAATTGCAAAAATCTGAACTTTTTGCCGATAAATGATAACACTTCTATGTAAGATGGATATTTGTTTTAATTCTGTACTTTCTTTATGATATAATAAATAATCCATGACATAATGATCTTTCATGTTCGTACATTTCTAAAAATAATGTGTGCTTTAACGAATTGAGCTATAAAACAGTTGGCATTCAAAGCAGTCCAAGGAATATTTCTTAAAATAAAATAGATATATGTATGTGATATACCTGGCATCTACCTTAACATAAAGAATATTTCAACAATCAGACATTTTTAATGGATCAATTTATGTTGTGTCGAGCTCAGTCATGCGTTTTGTTATCATATAAGCTTAACCTTAATTTAGCTATTACCTTCCAGTCTCATCATATTTCTCTAAGGTTTTTGTCATAATTTCTTTTATTTTCTACTATAGGGTACTTACTTTTAACATTTAACCAAGACATGCTCTGTTAGTTTAAGGAATCTTTAAACTAATAATCTTCGAAGTACTTTGTAGTATAGACTAGATTAAAAAAGTATTGAGGTCTATTTGAGAAAGAGAAAGAAAAAAACATCCCAGTTTCATCCACAATTTCAAAACACTCACAAGCGTATAACGATAAGAGAAATTTACAAATTCAAATCAAAAGTAATCTCTTCTAATTATGGCATTTGATTATCTTTTGAAATAGAAACAGTTCCTAGGTAAGACCAATTGTATTCATGCATATTCAAAGCAATTGGAAAGAGCATGGCGAATTACGCGGGATCAAACAATAATTTTCACTTTGCAATATATTACAAACTTATGGTAAAAAAGGGATTCCAAATTGGGTGAAAACATGTTTACATCAGTAATAATAACAAGATTACTAGTGAAGTGACGACCTGCCTACATGTCCTTTAAGAGGATATACAACGAAACAACGTCAAAAGCTGTAAACCTGACGGTATGCATCGCAGCTTGTTGTGTGTTCCGGTCAACATTACTTTCAAAAATGCTTATACAGGCAGGGATATAGTTTGTCCCACTTGGTAGTTGCTACTATAGTGGATCACACCCATTATTTTCATCTTCCATTTTCAAAACTAAATCTGGACCACCGTTTCTTATGCTTCTTATTTGTATCTTACTCGCCTTTTCTTTATACAGGAAACAAAATAGTATTACATTTCCCCGGCTTTAGGTGAGCCTTTTGTGTACACAAGGCAGGCGAAGGAAGTCAACTTAGGAGCGCTGTGATTGGATGTAAGGGTATATTATTATTTTTTTATGATTTATGAATAACTGCATAGTGTATATTAACTTTGTTTACAACATAAACTTTGAAATACATTGGAATATTTTCTTGTGAATTATTCGAAAAAGATTCCAAATTTTCACAAATTTAATGTAAAATGACGGTGAGCATGGATACCATAAACGACCTCCGTTCGAAAATGGTCATACCACTATTTGACTTCAATTTCGAAAACAGAATGATAAAGTACTAATATCACACATTACTGTTTTGTCCGGGTTTTTATTTTGAAAAAGTGGTAAATTTAGGAAATGTTAGTATTGTTGCCTATGAAAGAAAAAGAAAAAATGCTACCGTTTTCCCTTCACTTTCCAACAGCCCATGTCATGGACACACAACTACATATATCGGTGACAGTTTAAGATAATCAATCATAATTTATTTAATCTAATTTCATTACACATTTATACAATGAAAATTGTTATATTCAAACTGTGATTTTGAACTGTAGTATTTACTTTAAATTTGGTTAATTTTTTTTTAATACTATATCATAAGAAAAAGGTCTATTCATATGAAAATCCAAAACGTTTTGAACATTAAAACAAATGTTGAAGGATGGTTTTAATTAAACATTTAATTATTGATTTTCCGACACTTTTATTTATTCTTTTTTAATTTTTCAATTTCATCTAAAGTACATTAGGATAATTAAAGTTAATAACCCTAGCTGCTGTAACTTACTAGTTGTGTTTTGGTTTATTTATGATTTAGGAGGGTTTTAATTAACTATTGATTTTTAGACACCTTTGTTAATTTTAATATTTTTTACCCAAGGGGTTTAATCTCATGAAAAGTAGGATAATATAAAAGATAATAATGTAAAAGTTTTAGTCGTTTGTACGCCCGTCTGGCTTACAAAAATATAAACCTGATTTTGAGTGTTTTTTCTTTTATGGCTGTGATAACAAGACCTTTGAGTGTACTGCTCATGTCATTTGTCACCAGATAAAGCAATTGCTTGGATGGTTTTCATTAAATAATATAAACCAAAATAAGTAAATAGTTTTATTCGTTTGTAGACGAAACGCGCGTGTGACTAACAAAATTGAAAACCTGATGAGTTTTTATTTTTTATTTGTATTGTTTTATCTTCTATGGCTGTTGATAACAAGACTTTTGGGTATACTGTTTACGTCATTGTCACCAGATAAAGCAATTGCTTGGATGGTTTTCATTTTAATCGGTTTAAAAAAAACTAAGACAACTTAGATAGACAGTATACAAAGCTAGTGACTCAATAATTACATTGCATAAGTAAATAGTTTTATTCGTTTGTAGACGAAACGCGCGTGTGACTAACAAAATTGAAAACCTGATGAGTTTTTTTTTATTTGTATTGTTTTATCTTCTATGGCTGTTGATAACAAGACTTTTGGGTATACTGTTTACGTCATTGTCACCAGATAAAGCAATTGCTTGGATGGTTTTCATTTTACTCGTTTTAAAAAAAACTAAGACAACTTAGATAGACAGTATACATAGCCAGTGACTCAATAATTGCATTGTAGATTACTCATTGCCTCGAAGATGCCAATATCAAATGCATGTTAATCTCATTTGATCATGTCTAGGATTTACAATTTAGCTTTATTAGTTATTTACTGTACAGAACTTGTAAATACTACGGCACGAAATCGTTTTCAAACTTCAAAACGAAATGTACGATACGAAAATGTTTACAAATCTGTGAACGTATTGTGGATGGTAAATAAACGAAGCGCTGTAACTTGTATTGCCTCGTGCACAGATGACATTGACTGTAGGTCCATTGCTTTTAATAAAAACGACGGTAGATGTCAAGCATTCAACAGAGACTTCACAAATCAACTTATCAATGGGATTCCCGAGAGTGGATGGACTCATTTTGACGTTTCACCAGGTAAACATTATCCAGAATATTGCAATAGACAAATTGAAAAATGCTGAACATAGATTTTCTTAATAGCATGAGTACGAATAGGACATCTATCGAATTAAATTTATCGCTTGCGATCCTTTGTCGGACATGAAAGTTACAATAATTACTTAAATAAATCATACATTCGTGCGTATGTTTATATTGATATATGTAAATAGACGCATTTGTCTTTGTTACCCTTAGAAAATTTGTGGACTTGCACATTTGCTGCTAATTACCTTAAAAAAATCAAATTTGACCGAACTTTGGCAGCAGATGCAAAAACACGACATCTTTTTACAGAAATTGTCAATCTCGTTTAATCTCGTTTTCATGAGGTTAAAATTTGCAGTTTCACTATTTAACGACGCAACCAAATGGAACATTAAAATTAGGAACAGGGCAAATGAAACATAAGTGATTCGTGTATTAAAAATGAATGTGAGATACAATATAATTTTTTTCTGCTTACGATTACAAGAATAAATAAATTTTGGCAACTTATGCAGTTCATTTAAATCTTGTGGTATCATTAATTGTCGAAAATAACCGAACAAGTAACCATTAAACCACACCACATTGCCTAGAATATCTACTGCACTTAAGGTAGCACCTGTCTCATATGAGATGACGAAGTCCTCATGCCATTAATAGAATCAATAAAAAGAAAAATCAACATAAACGGCAATAAATTAGTGAAGCCAAGTTAGCCAAAAACGTAAATTTTTAAAACAATTGCCTTTGCGCATTCACGATGCAAACGGAGACTGTCACGTTGTAAATCATACGATTTCCTGCAAATTAGTATTTATTTGATAACCAAAAAAGGTTTCACGAGATAAAACGGACATCGTCTTCAATCAGAGGTAAAGACTGCCTCATATCATCAAGAACATACTTGCAAGTTTTCAGTTAATGACTACAGAAATTGTACTTTGTTGAGTGATAAACAATTCATCAATTCCAATATTTCAATGTCGATAGTCAGAATTACCAACAATTTAAAATCAATATTTTCACAGTATATATCTGCAAGACATTGACGCCAGTTACCAAAGTAACAGATTGTTCTGAAGTTCAATCTCAAGGTCATTATTGTAGTGGTGTGTATACCATCTATCCTTCCGTTAACATCCGAAAAGATGTTTGGTGTGACCTACATACACAAGAGGGTCGATGGACAGTGAGTATATGAATTAATTATCAACCTTAATTTGAATAGAGGTAGCTATGGTTTACCAATGCTTAAATCTCATAAATCCATTGAATATACATATCAAGGTAAACAACGCATGAACGCCAAAAGTATCAAGGTAAGCGTTGGTTACTATACATAATTCACTGACCATTCGAATCCACCCTTAGTCGAAATGTCCCAATTTGGAAAAGGACACGATAGGTAATTTGCAGATCTGATCATTCTGGTATCAAAAGAAATAAAAATGGGAAAACATGTCGCTAGATGATTGAGACACAAACAAATCGTATCGGTTAAACAATCAGTATTAAACAAAATCTGAATCAGTACTATACACAAATTAAAGCTGTAATGACCAAGTCAAATATAAGTAAAACTTGATTTACGAGCTTGAGTACATAAATAAGCTCATACTCATCTGGTATTTTCCTACTGGATAGTTAAATATTTGAGATAGGTGGTGATGATACCATCATTATTCCAGACACAACAATGACAATTTTAAAACTCGATGAAAATATTATTTTTGTTATACCGTCAATCCTTCAATGAATAATTCATAAATATTTTGTGACTGTGTTGATAGCATTTATACCAATGAACTTTAAACAAAAGGTACAACAAAAATAGCTATTGTCTATTTCATACCTTGACATGCTACTGTGTGGAACCAAACTTTTATTTGATAATATTGATGTTAGTTTTAAAGGTACAGCATACCAACAATTGAATGGCGTTCCCGAACTTCATAAAGATCAAATCAAATACCAGTTGAAACATATTTCAACAACATGATTTTTGACTTGAAACACTGTGTAAATGGTCTCATTTTATATGGGCGCAGCTTCCGAAACTAAATATTGATACAAGATTAAAAAAAATAGATACTAGTATCTTAAAATTGAAATGAGATTAATAATGCATTGACCTTCAATTGCAAAAGTGGGACGAAAGATACCAGAGGGACAGTCAAACTCATAGATCGAAAACAAACTGACAACGCCATGGCCAAAAATAAAAAGACAAACAGACAAATAATAGTACAGATGACACAACATAGAAAACTAAAGACTAAGCAACACGAACCCCACCAAAAACTGGGGGTGATCTCAGGTGCTCCGGAAGGGTAAGCAGATATATCATCAGCTCATAATAGTAAATATCCCTAAACAAACAAATACTCTGACCCAGTTGATTATCGATACTATGCATATTTAAATGTAATGTCGTAGATCACATCAGAATGACCTTCAGCGAAGACAAAATACCGAAAAAGCCTTAACAGTCGTGTTTGATCTAAATAAACAAATTTAATAATACAGCAGAATACCAACAAGAAAGATTTGTGCGAGTGTTGTTTATCTCCCGTTAAGGCTGGGACATACTAAAGATTGATTGATTATTGTTTGCTTATCATCCAGTCGCAAATATTTCATTATATTCACACCGATTAGTACATAAATAACATTAAATACCACATCTTCATTTTTGCAACAGATGCAAATTCCCTAGGTTATGTGCATGCTCAATACTGATTTGAAACAGAGCTCTAGTCTGTTTCTACTTTTTTTAAATATAAAAAAAAATTCTCTTTGTTTGAATTGGAACTGAATTAAAAACAATATAAAGAATGCATCAACAGTTGTATTTTGATAACTAGATATGAAAAAAGTTCGTTCATAAACAAACGAATTGAAAGGCTAGGTCTACGAAAACTCTTCAGTTCATATATTCAATGAACAAAAATGTGATGTTGCACATCTCCAAATTGTAAATCATATATAAAAACGGTAAGAAGATAACAAGATAAAATAAACATGATTGTGGGCGCCCAACTCTTCCCATAACCCCCCCCCCCCCCCCCCCAAAAAAATAACAAAAAGACATGAGACACAAAGTACCGATCTGAGAGTATTTGCAGTTATTGACAGCTAGTTCAAAGCCAAAAGCAACTGATAAAACAATCAATTATCCGAGACTCAGATTTAAATCAGTACCAATCCCGGTATGATGACATTATTCAGAAAATCGCTTCGGACGCGCCAACTTTATAAACAATTATTTTTATTTTGAGAGCAAAATCTTTAACCAAGACAAATGATACTTTGGTTAAAGACCGAGGATAGCAAAGTGTTACTATTCATGTAGTTTAGATTTATCAATCTACTGATATCTTAAGAAAAAGGGTCATCAAGCTAAGAAGCCTTTGCTTGTTGACTGGGCTTCCAAATAATATAATGGCTCAGTCGTGTGTTTTATTTGTAAATAAACATATCTTTTTTTGCACTCACCTAAAAGCAGTATTTGATTCTTGAAAAATGTTCCACCGAAATCTACAAAGCGTCTGCTTTCCCAGTCTGTTATTACAACGTTCTTCCGTGGAATATAATCGGCAGTACTACTTAATTGAAACAAATCCCTGTCAACTTTAAGGGTAGTCATGTTTTCGTATGTCAAATACTAATCAAATGTAGACCACATCGATTACTGTGAAAGAACTTTAATTCGTGGGTATCAATTTTCGTGGTTTGAGCAAAAGTTACATGTTCTTAGATTTTTAAATTCGTGGATTTTAGTTTTCTGAAGAAAAAAAATCGAGTGAAGAATTAAAGCCATAAGAAACGAAGATTATTTATAATAACCATATATTGTTTTATAATGATTTGTGGACATTGCAAAATAAAGGTGTTCATTTTCACATACTTGTTCGTCTTTAAAAACTGACAACATTCAACAAAATTGCTTTTGGAAATAAGCTGATTCATCTATGCTTACAAGTTGTCTCGATTGAAGGAACATGCAAAGTAAACATTTGAATTGTTGACGACGAGGGTTTTTTTTACCGACCTTGACTACCCATGAGCGTCTTGCACGGTCAGAAACTTGAATTGTTGCACATATGTAATCAGAAGTGATGACACTAATTAACCCGAGATCGAGAGATCAACAGATTAAAGACCATCAAAGGTGTTAATAGGACCATAAACATGTCCTTCAAAGAAAACAGATACATAAACAAATGCTTTAAATGCACCTTGAATTGTAGAAATAATTCTTATCAAAAGCAGACACAATATGAAATCATTATTTTCCGTATGAGAATAATGAGGATATAAAATGAACACTTCATTATAGCCTATCATCACCGGAAATCGGCCTTTCGTCGATCAAAAATATGCTTTTATGAGAATTTAAAGATTAAAAGTTGTACAGTTTAGGTTTTTTTAAAGATTGAATGGGTATAATTCTGCCTGCAGTTGTAGTTCGTAGTGCATTTGTCGATATTCGATGTATTCTCTAGATTATATGGCATGCCCGTATCCATTCATTCAAATCCTCATGGGTATCTTTTCATGTCTTGATTTGGACAACAGTTGTTATATTTCGTTGGACACTTAAATTCCTGGATAAAGTCATCCACGAAAACATCGGAAATCGCTTCCCCCTGAAAAAAGTACTTTCACAGTATTACCAATTGTACAGTTTAGCTAGCTATAAACCAGGTTCAATCAACCATTTTCTACATAAGGAAATGCATGTACCATGTTAAAAATATGACAGTTGTTTTATATTATTCGTTTGACGTGTTTGAGCTTTTGATGTTGCCATTTTTTTGTTGTTTTTTTTACCATTAAAACGTTAAACATTTTCTACATCATACATAAATGTTTTTGCTATTTTCCATTGGTTTTTATCAACTTCCAAAGCAAACTTTGACCTTCGATGCGTCTGACTTTTCTTTTTCTTGTCATATACCTCACAAGTATTCAAGTATTTAAAAGCGGGAGGTTTGGCTAGCCACAAAACCAGGTTCAACCCACCATTTTTCTGAAAATGTCCTGTACCAAGTCAGGAAAATGGGCATTGTTATATCATAGTTCGTTTCTGTGTGTGTTGCATTTTAGTGATGTGTTTCTGTTGTGTCGTTGTTCTCCTCTTATATTTGATGTGTTTCCCTCAGTTTTAGTTTGTAACCCGGATTTGTATTTTTTCTCAATCGATTTATGAATTTCGGATAGCGGTATACTACTGTTGCCTTTATTTATACATACTTGACTTTCAAATTTTGGATTTGAGCGTTTCCGTTGAAGGTTAATCATTAAAAGCGCTTCAAAAAATACACCAAAAGTATAAAGTATTATTTCATTCAACTGAACTGCACTGGCATATTTGTTTCAATTATACAGCAAGATTCTTATTATGAACGAAATACTCGTTTCAATACAGATTACCTATTTTATGTCATTGTTGATGAGGAAAGTCTTTAGGAAACCTTGTTCAAATTACAAGTGGCGAGGACTAGAAACTTGACTTGTTTGGTTTTTTTTTTACTGTCCTCGAAGTTTATTTCTATTTTTAATATGAAATAAGGCCACAGTAGTCTACCGTTGTTCAATTCTAAGGAATTCATTAAAGGACAAATCAAGGTAACACACAAAAACCGAGGGAATAGCATGAACTCCTAAAAGAAAAAAATACTGGTGCGTCGACAGGGGAAGTACCTTCAGGTATGCATGCATCACTAGTTGGGCGTATCCACACTCAGTCAAAATATCACAATCGGGAACAGTACACAATCAGTAAAGTTACAGTGTTACAGATACGACGACTAGTCTGGTAGCTTAAGATCCAAGATTGCGAAAACATGCCCCTAGTGAGTTAATACACAGACATATCGTATCGGTTCTCTAATTAGTGTTGGTGACTATGAAAGTAATGTAGTATGGATTTCAGACGTTCTTCCTTATAACTCTGTCAGAGCAATTTTTGTACAAGAAGCACATCCCTTCCACAGAAGTCCGTATAGTGTGAACAGACAGGAGCGTAATGTATCATTTGAGAATTGGATATTTGAAATCATCGTGTTTGTTATAGGGTCACAACAGATTTGAATCGTTGTCTTTAATGTCGCCACGAAGTCCGCATAACTTTGTAATTTTTTTAATAATACGACGGCGTGCTAAACCTTTACTCTATAGTGTGTAATAAGTCTATTTATTTTCTTCACTTCCTCTACATATTTTGTGATTTTCGAACAATATGTTGTCTTGTATAAGGCGTCAATACGGGATGTCTGTTCGGATATCTTTTGTTGCCCAGCAAAGAATTAGGTTAGCTCAACCCGAGAAACAGAGTATGTCTTTTTATGCCATGGTTCTCAATATGTGTCTTACATTATATTAGTAAAGCAAAATCAGTAAAAATGTAGTTCAGAGGATACCCCATGGTGCACTTGAAAATCACGGAAAAATGCGACATGCAAGTTACACAATATAATTATTTAACCCGCCGCAGCGCAGTGATTTTGAAAAAATTAAAGTCGGGTGTTGTCCTTCTTTTAAAAGATAACACTTTTGTATCTTCAACTGCTTCCTAACCGAATCACTGAGGGATTGTTTTAAACAATTTCTTCTCGCCTGATAACTTTTTCTTCATGTATAGCTTTAAATCAAAGGATGATTTTTCGGATAAACTTTGTGTTGACGTGGACACCGTCATAAGTGCACTCATAACTATTCTCTTCGATCATACCATACTTACCAATGTTCATTGGAGAAAATTATCGACACAGTGAAATAAAACGTCCATACTTAAATTATTTACCAAGATATCGATAACAATTACACACAAAAAACAAAAACTTAGAACCCGGTTGCCGTTTCTAAATTTGAAAAGAAAGATAGTAAATATTTGAGTACACATGATCTTACATTTCAAAAGTTTGACAAATAGTTGAAATGCCATGAGGAATAAATAGATCTTGAAATACCCGCCCGCTGTATCCCCGCATTTTCAACAACAAAAAAATCAGGAATTGCATGTCTTAGCAAAATATTAAATATGGTCAACATACTCCTTAGTTAACCGCTTTTTCTTAACACTAAGTCGTGCAGAAATTAATTTCTTATGGTCTCAACTTAGCCAATGCGACGACAATTGCGAAATGTGTTTTCTAGTCTTATGTAAAACTGATTAAATGATGCCGTTTGTCCCTCTATCGTACTCCGTACAATTACAGCATGTCCAACCTGGATAACGCAATACACAATAATCAATTCAACGACAGTCATTACTACATATATTTCTGAAAAACCTCGTTGTTAAACTATAGAAAAACATCATAAGAGTAAGTCTTTCTTTTGGAACGACGTTTTATATTTACAATTTGAGACGGCCCAAGATTTAAATACTACCTGTAGGTGTAAATGTACTCCTAATTGTAGGTGTATGACTGTTTCCGCAAATGTCTTCTACTAGTAGCCATTATGGACAGCATGCTGATAGTTGGTCCCTTACTGTTTGCAGTATTGATACCACGTCTGCATATATGATTATAAATAGAAGTTGAAACATGTCATTACAGGTATTCCAACAAAGGAAAGACGGTTCTGTGTTTTTCGATCGAAGATGGTCGGACTATGAAAATGGCTTTGGTGACCCTAAAACAGAATACTGGATAGGTTTGTTAAATAAATGCATATAACCAAATCATAACTTTGACATGCTTATGTCTTTTTTTTTAATATTCAGTATTCATATATATGTGAATGATTATGTAAATATACAAGGCAAATAGCACAAAAAAGCAAAACATATAAAAAAAACATCAAAGATAAAGAAAAGGGGGAAACCCTTAATTAACAAATATGGAAATAACATATGAAATAAATGTTGAACCGAAACTTCTCATTTAGTTGTATATTTTGTATGTTTTTGTTTAAGTATTAATTAACACATTTTCAAATACAATACAAGTACCGAACTCAGGATCTCTCAGCTAATGATTTATCATAACATGTTTCGTTTTTATCCAAAGTTTATCTCTATTTCTAAGTATATTGTTTATTTATTACCAAATTTGCTTCATGCAAATAGAAACAAGTCGGCAAGAAGAGTTGGTTTCCAGGGGAAAAAAACCACAACCTCTACCAAACAAAAAATATATGTTGTCAATACAAAAATGAAGCTTCTCTGTGATGATATTTTCAGAGAACATTGTGATAATATAAGAGGTGAAGTATGATTTCTCTATTGCTTGAAAAATAGTTTAATGTGTGTTTGAAAAAGGTTGGAGAAGCAAATGCTTTGGGTTTTTTTTTAGAACTGCTTTAAATACAATATAGTTATAGAAATATACCCTTCCTTTACAATTCTATAATTTATGAATGAGTATCATGTTCCTTATTTCATTGAATTTCAATGTAAAGTAATTTCAGCTCAGCTTTGTATAAAAACAGATTTCAGTTGACACAAATTATTTGCTATGAAAACTATTTTGTATTGTCAAATCCACAATTTTGGGAAACCAAGAACATAAAACATATAAAAGCCATAAGCACATGTAATACTGTTTCAAATTCATATTAATTGTGGGAATTGCAATTTCGATTGTAAAATCAACGAATGCATCTGGTAACGGAAATCGTATTTGCCATAAACAATACAACAGAAGACACAACTGAAATGACAGGAACTGCTTACCGTTCTGGAATACCCTGTTACTTTCAATTGAATTCTAGCTGCTCAACTCTTAGTTTGCTGTTCAGATTTTGTGGACTTGTTTATTCCTTTATCTTGTTGGTCGTTGTTTCTTTTATGTATGAATTTTGATTGCCCCTTTCGTAATTCACCTTGTTATTAGTTTAATTCTAACAACACACTGTATTTGCTAATGATGTAGTCAAATTTATAGTCTGAATCGTGCTAATTCTGGAGCACAGGGAGGAAGGTTACAATCGTGTGTAAAACCTGATACACTGATTTAAGTGCACACAACATGTGCTTCGGAAAACATTTTATCGGGAACTCTCCAAACTCAAAGTTTGGGAAGGTTAATATTTAAAAATAAGCATCAAAACCAAATTTTCATAAATTAACCAACCAATATCGTATTTGGTAAACTTTTTCCAAGAGGATGGAAGTTGCAATTTTACATATAGTACAATAACATTATAAATACACTACAATTTCGTCAAAATGTTTAATGTTAACCATGCAATAGAAAAATACTGGCTACTTTGCATATACAACCCTCATTACGCATATGTGTCTAGTTAACAGAAAAACAATATATCTAAAGTATTTTTCTATTTCAATGAGTAATTTCTATTTCAATATTTGTTTATAATTTGTTATGAAATATAAACATTGGCTATGATGGGTGTTTTTTTTTATTGTTCACCCAAATTCTGACATTTGTATAACCTTATCATGTAAAATACCTCATGAAAAGTTATACAATGAAAACTCAAACTACTGGCTACTCATTGAGCTAATGATATTAGAAGAAACAGTCAGAACTGTCTTGAACCATCTAAACTAAAAAAAAGTACAATCTTTATTCACAATAATTGCATTAGTCATCTCTTATACTCTAGTCATATTTATAAATGAAGTGTTATAGATGACCTTGACTGTATTTCGCATAATCTTTCGTTGGGTCATCAATGCTCTTGCACTTCATACTTTATTTTGCCTTTTTACTTTTTTTGAATTAAAGCTTCACTGATGAGTCTTTTGTAGACGGAACGCATCATCTGTCATGTAAACATACAAGCCTGGTATCTTTGATGTGTTCATTTACAACCACTGGACCGATTACACTGTTAGTGGAGGTTTCCTCTCTGAGTGTGTCATCAGCCCAGTGGTCAGCACTTTTGTGTTGACATGAATATTCATTGACATGGTCATATTTATTAATAAACTGTTTCTTCTGTTTACAACTGATTATTCGCGAAATACCCCAGGAATATATTAGCCTAGTAGTAGCATGGTGGTGACAAGAAATGTCATTGATATGTTCATTTCTGTAAATTTACAGTTTATAAAATTTTGAAATATTCAAAACGCTAAGATTTTTCTACCCCTAGGTATAGATTGCCTAAGCCGTATTTGGCATAACTTTTCGGCTATTAATGGGTCTTATGTAGACGAAATGCACGTCTGGCGTACCAAATTATAAGCCTAGTATCTTTGATGAGTTATTAACTGAGCTTTATTTGGCAAAGCCTTATGGAATTTTTGGTCTTCAATGCTCATCAACTTCGTACTTTGTTTTACCCTCTCACTCTATTTTGATTTGAGCGTTTAGCGTTCAAAATTATCAGCCTTGTATGTTTAATGTGTTTTTTGTTGTTTTTGCAAAATATTATATTATTATTTATGTAAACTATTCCACTTTGTTTTTTAAAAAGGGAATGAGGCTTTGTACCATTTGACACTTTCGAGAAGAAATGAATTGCTAATTCTGATGCAGAGCTGGGATGGTGTATGGAAGCATGCATATTATGCCGACTTTCATATCGGTCCTAAGAACGACAATTATCGATTGTACTTATCTGGATACAATGGCTCAGCAGGTATGTGCAATTTCAATATACGAAATGTTGCTAAAAAAATAAGGACGAAAGGTACCAGAGGGACATTCAAACTCATAGATCGAAAACAAACTGACAACGCCATGGCCAAAAATAAAAAGACAAACAGACAAATAATAGTACAGATGACACAACATAGAAAACTAAAGTCTAAGCAACACGAACCCCTTCAAAAACTGGGGCTGATCTCAGGTGCTCTCAAACGTCAAATAGACTGTTATTTAATAAAACGAATTAACCAACAAAACAGCTAGATGTCATTATTATGTCTCCAATAATAGACAAGTCCCTTCGCCGTATATACAATGTTTAGTTTTGAACATAGAAATCAAGTATCTGCCACTCACACAATACATTTGTAGATATTGAAGACATAATCTCAATTCTCTTTTCTAAAGTCATGATAACTTAATGTTAATTCTAAATTCAAGAACCGATTTTTTTTTATATCATTTTTTGTTTTAGAATACAAAGATATATAGTTCGCCGTTTCAGAATGTAATGCATTCTTGATAAATAAAAGAAAACACCAAAATTTTGCGACATGGTGAAAACATATTAAACAATAGTTTGACCAGTGACGTATTTTCATATTGGTCTACTAAAAATGCAATTACCAACAATTGCTTCAGTTTCAGAATAAAACCATCTTGTGTGTATATTTTTCATCAAATATTTAGACCAGTATCTTATTTTATTGTTTGTAATCTATAATTTTTACAGGTGACAGTCTGTTCAAGCAAGTAGGATATCAATTTAGTACACTAGGTACAGATAATGACGGCTTGCGAGGAAGTTGTAATCCGAAATTCCATAAGGGAGGTTTTTGGTTTAATAACTGCTGCTACTCTGACCTGAATGGATATTATTATAACAGTTCTGGGGTTGTTTCCACCGATTCATGTCACTGGTTAACATTTACAGGCTCTCGAGAGTCTTTGAAAACCATTTATATGATGGTTCGATAATTTGGTAAGAACTACGATTATTACAAGTGGCATAGCGATGAGAAGATATTTGATGAAAAATGTATGCAACTATATTATCAATTACGCCAGTTTTGGTCATCTGAACAGAAAACTATATTTCTAGTTTTTGAAATTACAGAGAAGCTACCCTTAGTACAGCTAACCTATGTTAGTGTGCAAGAACTCTTTTGACTGCTCTGTTCTTGACGTTAGTGTATGAAATTTCAATAAAAGCCGCCGAAATAAGAGTGCAAGAAGTCATGATAAGAATACCAGAAATGTATTATAACAGATGTATTTTTTTCGTGTAGATTTTAAGAAAAGTCAACAAAACACAAACTAATCACTAAGTTCTTTCAGTAGAATTTCTCCAATGACAAAATACAATACTATAGAAAAATTCACTGTAAATTTCCTTATTACTTTAATCAAACAGATTCCAGGATAGATCATATTTAAGAATACTTAAAGAATGTATTATCAAAAATACACACGACACTGTATCTGTTGATATCCGACCGATAGTATTCCTAAATATGTTTTTACTTTTACATATATTCATTAAAACCGAACTAATAATGGTGTTGGTTAATGAATCCTACATAAATAATTAAACCACAATTTAAACAAACTAATAAAAAACAGGAAATAGATTTAAGGATTGAAGATAGATTTTCTTCTCAACATGTGATACGAATAAAAGAAAGAGTCAATTTGAATTGAAACAAAATCTAAAAAGATGAAAACGAAAGAATTAACATCTTATCTACAAAGTACCAGCATCACAAAATGCTCTTTTAGCAATTTTAAACAAGTATAATTTTTAATTGTCTGTATCTCAGTCATCTGAAATATTGATATTGAGAAATACAATCGACAAATATATATTGTGGACTTTGCTTTCCTCATATTTACATGATTGCAATAAAAGGTAAGGTTCAGACTGTCGGTTATGCATTAACATGCGCATTAAATACCTACGATGTACTTTTAGATTATGGTTTTTAAGCATTTGATGTAGCCTGAAGTTGTTGATGTATTATCCCCTCTGAACGATGAATGTGTTGTTGTTCTAGCAGACAAAACTTCAATCAAAATTGTTCTTATATTTAAAATTCATTACTTGGCTTGCCTAACAAATGAACTTCGGATCGAAGCAAATCTGGTAATCCAATTTATTCACATACATCATTCACGAAAGTGGTCCAAAAATTCAAAAATCTATCCTTTTCTCCTTCAGTATAAGCACAAAAAAAGATGAAAATCTTACTTTCTTATAATGGATATAAAAACTGATAAAGCATTTTATAAAGAACGATATATAACAGGTTTGTCTAGAAGTTTTATGGATTAGAAATAAGAAGATGTGGTATGAGTGCCAATGAGACAACTCTCCATCCAAGTCACAATGTTTAAAAGGAAACACTTATAGGTCAAAGTACGGCCTTCAACACGGAGCCTTGGCTCACACCGAACAGTGAGCTATAAAGGACCCGAAAATGACTAGTGTAAAACAATTCAAACAGGAAAACCAACGGTCTAATCTTAAAGCATGTTTGTAAGATTTTTCCAAGAAAAAATTTCAAAGTAAAAGATGGTCTTCAAAAACATTGTATTAAAGATGTACTCAAGCAACGGTGTCAATCTGATGTGGATTTTTAAAAACACATCTTAAATTCTACTCTTAAATCTTGAATCAAAATCATTACAATTTTGCAATAATATCAAAACTTTTGAAATTTCAACACTCTATACTACTACATGTATTCCTCATACTAAATTGAAAAAAAATCGACTACAACCTTTCATAAAACAGAGCCATATCTACAAACCATGGGAAATATAGATACGAGTTAATTATGAAAGATCACGCAAAATCCTACTTTGTGAAGAACCATGCTGATTCAAAATACACCAAAGACGATATTATCAAATTTCTGGAATTTTTATCGACGACATATTTTTGAGTTTTGTAGATTGATATTTCAGGAAACAAACTGTATTGCAATGGATACTAACTGTACATGCTTACTGACCGATATTTTGTATTGCAATGGATACTAACTGTACATGCTTACTGACCGATATTTTTAATTGCAATGGATACTAACTGTACATGCTTACTGACCGATATTTTTAATTGCAATGGATACTAACTGTACATGCTTACTGACCGATATTTTTAATTGCAATGGATACTAACTGTACATGCTTACTGACCGATATTTTTAATTGCAATGGATACTAACTGTACATGCTTACTGACCGATATTTTTAATTGCAATGGATACTAACTGTACATGCTTACTGACCGATATTTTGTATTGCAATGGATACTAACTGTACATGCTTACTGACCGATATTTTTAATTGCAATGGATACTAACTGTACATGCTTACTGACCGATATTTTTAATTGCAATGGATACTAACTGTACATGCTTACTGACCGATATTTTTAATTGCAATGGATACTAACTGTACATGCTTACTGACCGATATTTTTATACATATGAAGCAGAAGGGTTATAATTTGATATTTTTCTTGAAAATGACACATTTTGATAACTTCCAGCTAGGATATATTGCTGACTTGACGATTTAATATTCCCGATATCAACTCAAAGTTTTAAGAAAGAACTACTGTAAATTCAGAAATTATTGCAAGGATTTTATTAATGAGAATAATGCGACTTCAGTATCGCAATAATAGGAACTCACATTCTGATATCAAATAAATACATTTGTATGTAGCTTTTCCTATAATCACAATAACTAACCTCGCATTTTTGTTCATTCTTCAAAAATCGCAATAATAAATGCACGCAATAATTTCTAAATTTACAGTAACCTGTCTGATAGTATGACGTTTAATACGTTACTTGCGTGCAAACGCCGACTTCATTAACAGTGTACTGCTCCGTATGCAAAACCTACTCAAGCAAGGGTATGTGTTTTAAAACACGAAGGGTTACACAAGTCAAACATGAACTGCTTAACCTTAAAAAGCACATAAGTTCTACACGGTTTTTTGGTTGGATTCGCGGTTTTCAATCTTTATTTCTCTGTTGTGTGTAATTTTGTTCGTCTTTGCATTGTTTTACTTTTCTTTTTGGTTTTGGTAATGTATTTTTTTCTGGGCTTTCATTGCCTTCATGGTAATTTTTCGTTATCTTGAAAGACGGTATTTTTGAAAAAAAATGGTGCCTTCATACACAAGTATCTAGGATTGTGTCAATTCGAAAATTTCCAAAGAAAATGATATAAAATCATTACTCTAAGTGTTATGTTTGGCAATTGGCCTGCAAATGAATTATTTAAAATAATCGACGTTTTGCTACGGTCTTAGTAATGCACAATGATATTTCTGGTAAAATTAGTGCCCCCTTCACATACACGGATTTTTCTTACGAGTTTTTGCGGATCGCAAACTCGTAGTAAATCGCAAGCATCCGTAAGTAACTCGCTGGTATCCGTAAATAACTCGTCACAATTCGCAATAACTCCCAGACACACTTAATGATCCGTGAAAGGAGAGGCATTTTATTTGACATGTAAAAAAAAAAACGATTATCTGTTGAATGATTTTTTCCGTAAATAATCGAAAACTATCCGTAAGTATCGTAGACTGCTCGCAACAACACGTAACCATTCGTAAACTACTCGTAAGAATCCGTAAATGACTCGTAACACCTTTTTTTAACCATTCGTTAATGTTAGTTTACGTTTTGTTTACGTAATATTTTGAATGCTTACGTGTGGCTTACGATTCCATTCTGGTCGTGTTACGATGGCTTTACGGATTGTTATGACTTATTACGAGCACTTTATGTGTTGTTACGAACACTTTACGATTATATACGTATACGATTTGGGGAAGGATATAAAAGCTGCAAAATCGGAAGGACTCGTAAATACTCGTAATTATTCGTAACAACACATAAAAGCTTCGATGAATACTGACATTCCGTAACATGCTCGTAACAATTCGTAAAAGCTCATTAAATGCTCTTAAGTTTCTCGTAGTAATCTGGGACAACTCGTAACAAATCATGGAATTTTGCCGTAAATACATCGAAATAAATTGTAATAATCCGTAAAAACCCGTACCGGAAATAGCTCGTATTAACTCGTAACAATTTTAAAACCAGTCGTAATATTGGCTAAATCGTCAGGATCCGTGGATGTGTTCGATCCTTCAGAACTGGCAAAAAAAAGTCGCGTATGTGAAGGGACATTAAAATTTAAACTGACAAAAGATCGCTACAAATTTGTCAACGTTTTCAGCTGACATTATACGAATACAGTTTTAACATTACATTGCATGTTTTATTTAAGATCGTTATTTTATTTAGTTTCTGATTACTAACAATATAATAATGTTTGCACATGCCTTCTCAAAAGTTACATAATAGTTACAAATCGCAAATTCGCAATCATGCCTACTCCCTATTTCCCTTCTGCTCTTGTGGATAAATGTAGTATAATTTTACTTAACAGATCACCATGACCTTCAACCTTCATTCAAACCCTATATATAATAATAAGCCTCGATCTTCTCACTATTATTCTTGACACTATCTTGGGTTTTCCCTCCTCTAAAATTAGAATAAATCCTTTTTATAATAGAATAATTATTAAATAAGAAAATTGAACCATTTCCAAAAAATGTCATATATTAAGTGCCGACAGATGAAACAGTCGCCAAGGCATGTGTACCTTTTAGACAGCTTTTCAGTAAATACAAGTGAAAAAGCTTGAAGACAATGTTGATCCAGAATGTGCATTGTAACAAAATATGTTTTTTTATGAATATCTTCTGTTTTATGAAATTATACTGCCAAAGCATTTTAAATAATTATGTGCACAGTGGGTTCACCTATTTTATTTTCACATTAATGATAGTTTGAACATGTGTAAAAGACTTTATTTCTTTTTGATATAATGTTTAATTTTCTAGAATGGTAAACTGGTCTGATATTTTTTAACATACGGACATGTAATAACTCATCAGAGATACCAAGCTTATCATTTGTCCACCATCTACATAAGACTAAATTAGTTGTAAGGCCAAATTCAATACG